CCCCGCTGCACCCTCTCCTCGCTGGCCATTTTCGTTTGCTTGCTGCGTGCACGTGTCCAGATTGCTTGTGGTTCTCCCGTGCTCTTGATATTAGTTGAGGATCGAGGAGTGTAAGGGTCCTAAAAGACCATGACAGTAAACGAGGAGGTGGAACGAGTGAATTCCAAGCGATGAAACCGGATTGCTAGTTTACGATGAGGGGCTCCGTCGCGTGGTACAAGATGTGGTGATATGACTGTTTGTAATGAAACGTAATGAGTCCTTCGACGGTCCTGGGGCCAGACTCGCCAGTACCAGCAACACCAGCTACGTCGGTTGTGATCCCCATTGAGAAGATATTGAGTAAGTTGCTCTAAACTGTTATCTCGACTCCCTGTTAACTCGGTCTGTTATTAGGCGTTCTGTTGGAATTGTCACTGATATCGATACCAATTCGTAAAGGAATGAAGGGCGTAGATAAGGAACAAGAGCAATCGTATCAGCACTCAGAACAAATTAGACCTTAGCTTAGTAATTGAGAAGAATATGCTTGACTTGCCACTCCAGGAGTATGGAATCATTACAGTCAGCTGTCACTTAGGATCTGTACGGTTCAATCATGTTTATGAAGGCGATAGTAACTTCATTGTCCTCAGCGGTTCATAACGTAGTAAGATGGCATTACTCTGTATTAAGATATTCGACGCCAAAGACCTTGGCACTCTGGCATTATCATTGAAATGAACTTAGAGAATACTGAGCAAGTTTAACGTGTGCATGTTATTACTGTATGCTAGGATAAATGCTTAATCGCTTATTCAATCTCATTTCCATCCAGAGTCAGACTATTCTCACATAGCAATAAAAGCATAACTTAATTCCTCAAGTTGATATGATCGGTTCACTGGTGAATATCATAGAAAAGAAATAAAGTTAATATTATTTATCTGGCGGATCGTTCCTTCTCCCGAATTCAAGATCATGAGGACTCGTCCCTTTGGGTCGTCGCACCAGTTGTCTATTCTCGCCCTTTCTTCACTTCTCTGTCGTTTGAAGGTATGTGTGTGTGTGTGTTTCACATACACACACACGCGCGCGCGCACGCACACACACACACACACACACACACACACACACACACACACACACACACACACACACACACACACACACACACACACACACACTCACAACACACACACAACACACACACACACACACACACACACACACACACACACACACACACACACACACACACACACACACACACACACACACACACACAACACACACACACATATGTGTATATATATGTATATATATATATATATATATATATATATAGAGAGAGAGAGAGAGAGAGAGAGAGAGAGAGAGAGAGAGAGAGAAAGAGAGAGACGTGTGTTTCTTCATATACATTTCTTATAACATGACACGTGTCATAGGTTATAATCTTCAATTACTAAACAGCTACCTGTCATTCAACCTATGCAGTAACAGCAATGAAGTGAACTTACGAAATACGAGGAAAATTAGGAGATAAAGGAGAGAATAAAGAGGATAATGTGAAATAAAAGATTATATAAGAGTATATATAAAGTATCTCAAGGTCCTGCTTATTTTATTGTTGAATTTGAAATTTTTGGGAATGAGATTTTATTTAATTGTTTAAAAGAAATAAGCGATCCATCTCATTTTAAATACAATACATATGTTATGAAGTTAGAGTATTAGTTTCGTAATACTTATTGCATTAAGTTTATAGATATTCTTACCTTTACTGTATCTCACTTCGAAACATAACAAATCCTCTTAAAAGAAGTTTTGTGATAGAATTTTCTTCTTAAGTAATTCTTAATTCCATTCCTAATCGGATTTGATTTTATTTGGTTCGGAATTATATCTCTTAGCCGGATGCCCTTCCTGCCTCCAACCCTCGCTATTCACGTGGACTTAGAAGAAAGCAGTCTGGTTTGATCAGTGAATAGTGAATTGATATATTCCAAATGCAATATCATATCATATGCACAATATCGTTTCCTTTCTTCGAGATAAAGAATTTGTTGTTGATATATACCAAAAGATTTAGTAAGCTTGATAAGCATTAAATAAGAAAATCAAGAAGACAATGATAAAAAAGGGAGGAAAAGGCGAATAAAGAAAAAAAAAAAAAAAAAACAAGAATAGAATGTATAGGCATTAGGTTTCCCATAGAGCGATGTTGAGCATGGTATCGTTTCAAAACCAGTTACGTAAAAAGAACTGCACACATAGATATACTCTCATTATATATATATGTGTGTGTGTGTGTTTATAAATATGTATATACATATACACACACACACACATATATATATATTATTTATGTATATTTTATGGATGAAATCGTAAAAGAGAGTTTCATGTTTGTTTTACAAAATAAATCCTAACAATAACTTACAAACTTTATGTTAGATGCAGCCTCTATTTCTGCTTTTTTTTTTGTATATATTCAACCGCCATTTTCTTTTCCTTTTTT